ATGCTCTCTCGTACAATTTCGTCCTCTTCATCGTCATAGATCACAATCACCTCGTGCTCTTTGACGCCTTCCTCCTGGTCCTCTGGTACCTGTTTCAAGAGCTTTTCGTCCTCCTTCTGCTCTTCTTGCAGCGCGTCCAGCAGACGGTCGAACAGCACAGCCTTCAGTCCACTAGTTCTCAGTCCTCTCTTCTTCAGTTCCGACCGCAACTCCGTCACCTTGAGCTTCCCTGGGTCTTGCAGTAAAGCCTCAGACGGACGTCCTCTCCTTCTCGTCTTCTTCGGTTCCTCAGTCACGTCCGCACTCTGGGTCCTCGGACGCAGTCGCATCGACAGTCTCGTACTCATTCGCTCCTGTTTCGGTTCATCCGCAGGCGGCGCCGCGTCTTTCCGCTGCGGCTCGATCTTCTGCTTCTTCTTGACCGGTTCCGCGGCTTCTGGGGCGCTACAAAGCAAAATTACAGCGGAAAACCACGCACGCATTAATATATAAGTCTCAAGTACTGTAATGTTCCCTAATATCGGCCATGGAGCCCTGGTTTACCTGGGATAAGGCAGTGGAGCTGACGGCTTGGACTCGAAGTGCGCCTTGATATCCAGCGAACGAGAAATCTGCATCAGCTCAGCTTGCAGCCACGACACATTGAGTACATGTTGCTCCTCCAGCGCCGACCAGTTTTCGCGCGCCAGGCTCTGCAGATGCCTGCGCACCCGCAGCACGGCGTCGCCCATGCTTTAGTTTCTATTGCCTTTTTCGCGGTTTTGAATTTTGAACCGGGATCAGCAACTTTATTTTCAAGTTGCAAAAATGATGCGCTGAAGTTACAGCAACTTGTAAACTTCAAAACGGTCAAACATGAAAATTCACATTAGAACAAAGTTGCGCGACTTAAGTTACAGCAACTTGTAAACTTCAAAACGGTCAAACATGAAAATTCACATTAGAACAAAGTTGCGCGACTTAAGTTACAGCAACTTGTAAAACTGCGATAATTGTCGTCAAAAATGAAAATTCACATTAGCTGGCCGTCCTGCTCGCTATAATGCACTGCCCCACCCGCTTGCTGCGATAACTCGTCGTCGCAGCCTTCCTGCCCCGTCCTGCTACTGTCTATTTACTAATAGTAGTGTCTATACTGGCACCTCGGGTGTCCTGTTCTCGCTTCGTCCACCATCGGCAATCGGTCTTGACGGACATGAAGATGATACTACACCGACCGACAGACGACGTCGATCCTCTCGTCTTGCACTCCAGTAGAAGCTACAGAATGGAACACGAGCTCTTCTTTTGCTTGGGCACTTTCTTCCGACGCACCTCGCGCACAAACGTCTCGAATACCGCCGTCACGTTGGCACCTGTCAGCGCACTCGTCTCTATGTAGCGCGCGTTGTACGAGTGTGCTATCCGTCGGCCTTCCTCCGTGCTCACTTGGCACTTGCTCGGGTCACGATCCACCACGTCCTTCTTGTTGGCCACAAGGATAATAGGAGGCAGAGGACGGCGACTCTCGTTGATCTGGAGGTGCAGATCAAAAAATGGTTGCAATTCCTACAAAAATGACGGGCGTCAGTAAAATATCGACTCATATTTACCGACAAGAAGTCGCAATGGGGTATACGTACATGAAGCGAGATTCGCGAGTCCATACTATACACAAAAACATAGCCATCCTTGTCCATCATCCACTGCCCTCGCAGCGACTCGAAGTCCTGTAAAACGCTGATGAGCCAACGATAAAAATCAGCGCAACGAGCCTCAATGACGTACATCTTGTCCTGCGGTATCCAAAATCTCGAGCATGCAGAGTCCATCGTCCACCGTGATAGCTTTCCTGTAAGCGTCCTCGATCGTAGGGTCCCAGTCTTTGACGAAGTAATCTCTCACGAAACGCAGTGTGAGTGCACTCTTGCCCACACCACCTGAACCCAGCACAGACATGTGGAAAGTCTCCTGTCCGTTTGCAGGGCCGAGGGACTTGTAGAAGGCCTCGCCCTGTGATACATACAGCGTATCGTTGTTCTGCAGCTCGTCCACATCCGAGATCTCGGCGCCACTAGCAAGGAACAGACGCTTGGCACGCACACCCAGTTTCTTGCTCGCCACCTTCTTGAGTCGCGCAATACTGTCCTTGGATTTGAGGTTCATCACCTGCAATTACAGCGCATTAGTCTCCAATGCGATAGTCTCCTTTGTCTTCTGTGTGGCTTACCTTGCCCTCAGAACCCGCCTCATTGCGGTAGATGAACAGCCGCATGTCGCTCATGGTGATCGCGCTACGGGGCGTCCGTCGGTCGGTCCTGTAGGCGAGGAGCGAACGCCTGCCTGAGTTCTCGCCTTCCGAGTGCGCAACCTTACAACAAATCGCGCTGCGGAATTGGGTGTCCCCCCTGCCGCAGTAACTCTATCGGGGTTATAATTGCAATTAGGGTTTCTATTACCTAGAAATTGTAACTGTCAAAACAGATGCCATTACGAAACTTTGTCTATTATTGCAAATATGGCCAAATAGTTGCTGTAAGTCACGTCACAGTGGTACCCACTTTTGATTGTGGACAGGCAACATGGGAATGGTCTCACCAAGGGCGAAAGGTGTCGCTACCGAAACAGCCTTGATCATAAACTCTTGGCCACAGCTTAAGCACAAGACAGCTTCCTTGCTAGGTGGTAACTACATGCATGGTGGTCATTAGTGGCTGTGGCCGGTTTCGCAGACCGAAAATCGTTCCCTGAAAAGCCTCCCATCACAACTTGTGTGATTCAAATCCGCGCTCGGGTTCTGCACCGCCCGCGATCACAAAGAGTAGACATCGAGACAGCGTCGAGCATGCAGCCAACAGCGCACAGCTTCCTTCCTGAACCAAGCCTTCCTTCTTTGCCATTGCCAGTATTTTTGTCGACCGGCTTCCACCGCAATAGTAGTCAAGGCAGAGAGTCTCACCTACGTGCGTACCAGCCTTATTACCCCCATCCTCCTAGCCAAAAGTTGCCAGCGAGTTGCTCCAACTTCATTTACGTTGCACAAAAGTTGCGCGCAAGTTGCTCAGCAACTTATGCCATGTAGCCATCTCACCTCCAGGACGAAGAAGGTCCTTGTTTCCCCCAAGCCCCGCCTGCTGTAAGCTCTTATCAAGCAGGTGATCCAGCGTCAAGCAAAGCTTTGGCGTTGCTGCTCTATTCGTCTACGGGTGCACACGGGTATCCTTCTCCTTGCTGGCTTTCCACCGCCCTTAAGAGGCGAATTTTCAGGCGATCTTTCCAGCGCGACGGGTCGACAGCGGCGCTGTACTGCAGCGCTCTCTCGCACAAGTCCTTTAGCCTCGACGACAGCGATGCGTCCGCATGACGACGCGCAGACGCAGCAGGAGGCCGCACTGCGCCATAAGGGTTCGTCTCCCACGCGGCGGCGGCGATCTCGAGAGCAGGAAGAAGTAGGCGCACCCGCTGTCTGGATCTCCCCGGACTGGGCTACACACCCCATTATCGAGAGCTTCTACGGCCACGCGCGGCGTGCGCGCGCCAGCTCCTTTTATGAAGTCATGTGCTCACCTATGAATGCAACAGCCACAACTACATTGGGCGAGAGCTGCTGCAGTTACAAGGCGACGGATGAGGAAGACGAAGGCCAGCGAATGAATAGTCGGGCACGCCGTCCGTTCGGCTCGTTCGCTTATTCCTGCACAACAGATACGAGCGAGGAAGCGGCCGAGAGTCCGCTGTACGACCACCACGCCATGGGCGTGAGCGGCGACCGCAGCGTATGTAGTAGCTCTGGCTTCGCTCAATGGAACAGGATGCGTCACACAATGAACCTCAATGGCGGACTCGTGCCTGTGCCTCCGGATCTTCACTTCACCAGTGACAGAGCGTCTATACTGGAGAACCCTCAAGGCGGCGGAGACCTCACAAGACTCAGTCTCAGTCCGTCGTCGTCCGATGTCGACAGTCTAGATCGTCCTCCTTCACCCCCGACATCCGCCAGATTACGAGCCAAATTACAAGAAAGTCTGCAGGACATGGATGCACGCATCGCTGAGGAACACAAGCGGCTCAAACAAGCACAACGAAGTTTCAAGAAGTCGACAAAGCAGCCAGCACCTGCCAATGTAATGTGGAGTTTGCTATGTGGTGCACGCACGGACGACGCCTCTCAAGCTGATGGCTTAGCGTTCCTGACCGAGAAACTGGGCATGGCTGTGTCACATCGAGCGTTGAATCAGCTGCAGCGACACCGCCGACATGTGCGCGGCATCTTGCAAATCGTGACTGCACACAACCCGGACTTGGAGCTCACCGAGCGGCAGCTCGACTCGTTCGAAGCAGCCGACGCGATGCTGGCGAACGATATCAAATACAGTGTGCTGCATCAGCAGTACAAGTTGCTCGTGACTAGCGCAACTCAACGGCGGCGTGCTGTAGCGCAGGCCAAGCTCCACAACGGCAACGATTGCTTCGAGAGACCTCACGTGAAGAGCGTGATGCTGTCGAAGCTACTGGAAGCTGTGAGCTGGTATCGACTGGTGCAACGGAATGCACGGGAAGAAGCAGCGTCGAGTTCTGTGGGTGTGGCATCAGCGTCAGGCTCTAGCGTATCCTCCGCTCCTAGCTCGGGTGGACTGCAGGAGCTTCAGGTGGATAAAATCCTCGACGTTCTGGCGGGAGAAGAGTTTTATTCCGACTTCAATGAGCTCATGTGTCAGCCAAACTGGTGGGAGATAGCACAGGCTCATTTTGAGAACCTCATCTTCTCGTCCAAGAACTCCCGGATCTGCCAGTGGGTGTTGCAGCTATCGAAGGATGTGGCGGCTGTGAGTTACGAAGAACTGGAGGAAAACGAGCGTGGAGGACTGCGCTCTCGGACGAATTCCATGGTAGCGAATCATGCAAATACTGTACGACAGGCTTCGTGGACCAAAGACCCGCCACCGGAGCAGATTCTCGACTTTTTGGAGCGTCTTACAAGTCGCGTACGTCGAGAGTTTGACGTCCCTGCAGACGTTAGCAAGAGCTTGAACGTCTTCATCCAACGCACCGTATTCCCCCGTATTGCGGTGCTCTGTTTCAACCAAAGATCGACGCGTGATTGTCAGAGGAAGGACAAGTTGTGGCGGAAGAAATGTGTGGAGCTCAGTGGCTTACCCATGGAAAACCTGGGTGTATCACCCGAGTTGGTCGCCAAGATCCGCTCTAGTTTACCCAGTCATCGTGTCCGCGGTCCAAGTAATGGCTGTAGCAGTCCATGTCAAAGACGAGTGTATCTCGTCCGCGCGATCGAAGCCTTTAACAGCATGGAGAGTGTCGTGCCCTGCGATCTGCTGGATGAACTCATGCATGGTGTAGTGATTCTACACCACGAGGCGGCTCTCGTGTTGGGGACGACTCAGTTCTCAGTGGAGACGTTCTTCCCGTTGTTAGCGTACGTGCTGGTGCACTGTCGACTGCCCACTATCCACGCTCAACTGCATCTGCTCGAGAACTTCGCCATCACTGCCGATAACGCGAATGGAGAAGAGTCGTACTACGTTTACTGCGTCCATGCTGCGGTCGAGTACGTCTGCAACACAGCAGGACTTGGAGTCATCCCTGCAAGTATCAGCTCGACTTCAAGTGCCGTCTCCACACCGGGTGGTTCTCCTGTCATGCCTATGAGTACGTCACCGCCTAAGAACTACACTGCGTTCTCACTGGAACTGGAACTGGAGACTGAACTGGAAGTCAAAGTATTAAACTCACCAAGTATGGAGCAGCCAGAGGTAACCGGTACTGGACCTGAAGCAGGCAACGAATGTAGTTAGCTAGTACGATCAAGCCAATATCCTTTATTTAAGTCGCGTGTAAGGTACCGGAGCTCTCTGGAATCTAAATAAACGTGTCGAGGCTGTTCCGTGCACGTCTTCATTAAATCTGCAGGAGTCTAGTGTGGCTTGGGTACGTGGCCGTCGACGTAGAAGTTGCGTGTGGCTTTGGGGAGCGACACTGTGGTGCCCTCGAAGTCCTCGGTCACGAACACCTGGCAGCCTAATCTGGACGTATCGGTGAGCCCAAACGCCATGTCCAACATATCTTCTTCGTCCTCGCAAGCCTCCTCCAGTTCATCGAACACGGGGTCTTCCAGGATCACGTGACAGGTGGAGCAGGCCATGGACGACTCGCAGGCGCCCTCTAGGTCGATATCGTTGGCGTGGGCCACATCCAGAATGGACATACCCGTCTTGGCCTCCACCTCCTTGATAGAATCGTCGCGCAGTTTGAACTTGATGTGCACACTGAAAAAAATACCAAAGGTTAGCGTATCATTTCGCATCGTATCATAGTTGTGGGGTCTGCATACGTTGGATTGTTGGCGAACTTTGACATATCGCCGTGCAGGGCAGCGGCCGATGCGTGGAAGAAGCGCGGGGCGTTGGCGGGGCCTGTGCGCGACAGGAGACGCTGACCGAATACACGAAGCATTGCAGGCCAGTAAGATGGAATGTGTGAAGGAAAAGAGCTCCGATCAAAGCAGAATGATGGTCACTGGTGATAATCTATCCTTTTTCCATGTTTGTTTAACAAAAAACCTATTAACCAATGAAATGACGGATACACCAAATAAAATGTTGCGATTGGTTAAAAAGATCTACAACTGCAGCATGTATCGCGAGTCGCTCGACTGCAACATGTCAGCTACAACCTAGCCATTTCTCCTCTTTGGGATCGCATGGATCGCCCACGCCTTTCGCAATCTGCAAACGTCGCATCTTCTCGTACTCTCCAAATACATCGCAATGTATAACTTGCATGCGGCCATTGTAGCAGATACCACGAGTACCATTCATGTAGCATTCTCGATACAGCACTCCTTGACACATTCCATCCGTGGATTCCAGTGTTGGCTCCGACGCCTGCACATCCTGCGTGATATTCTTCCCACACAGAAATCCATTGGCACGGTTGATAACTGCCATATCTTCGGCTGGAATTCGATCGCTCACACATTGCACTGAGGGTTCGTTCGGTCTGGGGATGCACTGGAAGTTCGTCAAGTCACAATATCCCGTCGCCCAACCATTACAGCAGACTTCATTGCGTCGGAACATGGCAAAATTTTTGAGACTCTTGAGACCCTTTAGAGAGGGGAGACTGTGGATATGGATGGCATCGGCGATGTAGAGTGCAGTTAGTCCGGAGAGATCGTCGAGGTTGGGCAGCTCTTTCAAATTATGGACAATCGTCATTACGAGTGTCGATAATTTGTGCAAACCCGCGAGAGAAGGGTATTCCGTTAAAGCAGTAATACCTCCTGTTCGCACGAATCGGAGGTTGTGCATATTGGAGAACATATCGGGTGGCAGGTACTGCAGACTTGAGTGGACGAGATCATTCTCGATGTGACTATGCGATACATGAACAGCATTAGTTATGCACTGAGCAATGGTTGCTGGAAACGTGTGGACGTACAGGTATTCCAAGTGGGTAAATTCTTTTATCCACTCCGGAAGTCTCCGCGTCTTCGTGTAGATAAGAATCCTGTGGTTTGGCAACCAAATGTGAGTCAGAAAATACACAAGTCTAGACATTGCTTAAGGCAACGCACAGTTCTTTCAACTTTTTGCACAGTCGAAGCTCTTCTGGTAGCTCCGGCACCGCGCGATTGATAACTTGTACTATTTGTAAGTGCCCGTTCGAAGCCAGCGCACGTAAATCTTCCGTCACGTCCGGCGCATTGATCCAATCGTTGTATGTTTTCGGAGCCAAGTCAAGATCCATGAAAACGATACAGCGGCAAGTCGATTTGCGCCCCCAATCCCAGCGATACGAGTAAACAGCACAGTGTCGATATGGTGCACAGTGTTCAATACTTGTCGAGATAGAGAGTGCCGTGTAAATAGCGATGCCCACACTGCAACAAATAAAGATGAGCCCTCCAACCATCGTGTGCTTTCTCGAATGTGGGTGAGCGTGAGCTTTTGTTGCTTTTTTGTCTTCTCTTCGACTGCGGTTAGCGAGGATGAGGTGGCCGATAACCTTCTTCCATTTGTAGATCCCCAATAGGTTCAGGAAACACTTGACTAGAATATACTCTCCTTCCGTAATCTGTAGATTGGCGAAACTCGTTTTAACGAGTTGAACCTGGATCGGGTCAGCAAACAGCCGAGCGATTCGATCAAAGCTGCCGGGAGTGAGTGTTTCCTCGCGGATAACGAAGTTGTCGCGATCCACGTGGAAATTGTAGTACGAGTATGTTAACATCACCATGGGAGCGAACACCGCGAAGAAGAGATCGAACCTGCAATAATTCCGTATAGCTTACGTTAGATGCCTTAAAATTACAGGGACATGTTGGTTGGTACGTACAGATAGAAAACTCGAGCAACAACAAGCATCGGGTCCGGTTTGGTCCTCTGAAATCTGTAAAATGAGATAAGCCAGTTGAAACCCAGTGGCAGCACGTAAAAGAAGATGATTGGTAGAGGGAAGCCTTTGCTTAAATACGTCGTAAGGCTCATCGTCTGAAGAATTAATTTCGGAAAGTCCAGCAACGCATCCTACCATTGGTGAAAGTGAAGGATTAGTTTCTAGAAATACAAGCAAAATACTCGATGCACTTACATAATAACGGTGATATGTGCCTTCCATGCTCGTGAAGTCGAGGATCAATCTGCTGGCTGTTTGGGAGTGAAGCGATGATGTACGCTGGATCTTGGCACTAAAACTCTTGAGGTTCTCGAACGACCTCACTCTAGACGAGGCGTTTCTAATAGTTGCTGTTCTTTCACCTCCTGTTTGAGCTTGCAAGCGCCGTAAAAATGGTAAAAGTTTTTGTGGTAGGCGATAACTCAACGACGTTGGATCTGGAGCTTGAGAGAGATTGTTGACCGTCGATTCACTATTGTAGGAGAGCATGAAGACGATCAGCCACAGGTACAAACACGCAAACACCGACAGCATCAGTGAGGACGTGACGACGATGGTAAGGGAAGGCTTCGACATGAGCAGGAATTCGCCGTTGTCCAGTGTATCGGTCCCCATGAGGAAGTTCGCCGTCCAGTTGGGAATAACTTGCACCACCGTCATGTACACCATCGCAAGCAGTGACAATGTGAATGCGAGCAACATGACGAGGCCCAAATAGCCGTACACCTCGTAGAAACTTTCTTTAAAGTATACAACCCGTATAGTCGATCGAGCACGACGCAATGCTTGGCCACCAGTGACTTTAAAGGACGCTCTTCGTGGAGAAGAACTCACGGGTTTCACTTGAGGATTTGTTGCAGATCGTCGGATACATGGGAGGTATAACGAGTCTATGGAGTCGATGAGATCGGTTACTTTTGCGAGACCATCATCAGATGCTTGATCCAAGGACACTCGACGTTGTGTTGGTTGATTGGTGCGGCCAAGATCTGGGTCACCTACGGTGCTTGATAGTTGCGTAGTAGTATGCACTAGATCATGATAACTCTTTCGGCGCCGAGCCTCCATTGTCAGCGTGGCTGTGAGAAGAATTGAGTGTTTCCAACTTGTGTGGACTGTTGGTCTTGGCTTGAAATACACTCGTACACCTTACTCTCGCAATTGGAGTTTATTTTGGTTTGCAGTGTCGTTGTGCCAGGATATACTTTCTCTTCTACACCCCACACCAGCAATTTATTAATTCGAAGTACTTAAGTATTCATTAACACCGATTCAGCAAAACAATAGTTTTCACACTAAAAAAATCAACAACAAACTTGATTTTTGTTGGGATGAACTAACTCCAGCTTCCTCTGTTCCAGCAAAAATAATGCTCGCAAGCACAACAGCACCACTGTCACTTCCAAACTTCCACTTGGCATTTCTACAGTGCCAATCCATTCTGAGCTGGAACATGAACCACGACGTCAAGTCCGACGGGGCCATTACAAGACGAGTTCAATATATTTCCAAATAAATTCTGCATCAGATACGCCGTTTCTGCATCATTTTGCCTGCGCGTCTCCTCCGCGAGATGAAGAACAGACAATAGTCGCTTGTTCTGTTGCTCCAGCACCATCCTCAAGTGCTTCAACGAACCAACGGTGTTGTTCGTAAATTGGTCGGCATTCATAGCTCCGATAGACTCCAGCGTGTTCTTGTTTGCCTGGTCAACAGTCGCTCGGAGCTGGTGGAAAGCTGCCGAAAGCTTGTCCTTGCGCGCCTGCAGCGCCAGCTCCAGTGGTTTAACATTGCGTTCAGTAGGATAAATCGGCGCGGGCTCGAGCGGTGGATCCGGTACAACTTCTTGTTTACCCGGAGGAGTTCCTGTCAGCTCATTCGTCCTCTCGGTGACAAAAATGCACGACTCTGGAACAAAACTTCTACCATCTAGAGGTTCAATCACACAGTCTTCTGCTTCCTGGAATTCATCGTTCGCCTCGTCTTCGAGCAGAAGTCGCTGAATAGTATCATCAGTCTCAGTCGCTTCGCTATTCACGGCTTTCGGACATAAATCCGTCAGTAGCGGTATGGGTCCTAGTGGAGCTGGTTTAAGAGGAGAAATGGCCTTCGGGGACGGAGGACCAGGTGATTGAACCAGTGGATTTCGCTCTTCTTTCACGTCTTTAATGTCCTTGGGGGCAAGATCTTCCATCGCAGCAAACACTTGGCCTTCAATGTCCTCGAAATTGTCAGGTAGATCACCCCACGCTATCAGCAAATCTCGCTCGGTTTCCATAAGCTCGAACCATCCTGGCTGATGTTTGACGTTAAAACTGCAAATGAAGCGCCATGAACTCAACAGAGTGCGAAGTTTCCGCCACGCTGAGAAGGACGACCGCTTTGACGAAGCCAGACACTTGAATGACTTATCGTAGGTCATCTCCTCGACGTCTTCTAGCGTGATCCCTTTGAGCTTCATAACTCTCACGCAACGTTTGACCAGCTTCACCTTCTCGTCCGTTGACCAGCACGGCTGGGGCTCCACGTAAGCGCTGACTTTCTGGCGTTTAGTGCTCGACTGAGACTTGACTTTCTTGTTGTTAATTACCGATTTCTTCGCTCTTTTGCGGTTCTCACCGTTCTCTGCTGGCAGGATGGAGCGTTTGAATGTATCGAAAATATCTGGAGTGAAGGTCGTCAACTGTCGTCGCCACACCATCGGGATATCAACCCGAAGTTGTTCCTCGCTTGAGAGATCGAACCAAACGCGACTTCCTTTTGCCGGTGCTGCACGGTCGAAATTCGCCACAAATTGAGCGAACCGAAACATCCGGTCACGTTGAGTGGCAACCGCCTGTGGAGAGCGACGCAACTGGCGTGTTCGAGCGCAGCGTGCATTGTAGCGATCGAAAATGACTTGACTGAGATTGTCACCTTTGAGACGCTTGCAGTCTTGTGAGTCACACACATTCGCCCATTCCTCCGTTAGCATCGACACCTCGACTGTGGTCCATCGCATCTTCAAGGCGCTCTTGCACTCCATGGTCAAAATGATAGAATGACGAAGTATTGTAGAGCTTTTGCTGGTGACAAGTGGCGCATTTGTGAAAGGAACTTGGGACGAGGCTACAACTACTTGACCGTTAGCTTTTTGTCATTCTCACTGAGAACTTATCAGATTTACTACCAAAATCACAACTGTAGTACATGACTTCAACCTCAACATTTTAACGAACTAGTCGCCCAGTACCAAGCAATCACTTGCTGTGTATTGAGGAACGACATGCTTCAACAAGATCAGACCTAGCGAGCAACTCTGTTTTACAGTGGCGCTGGGGTTGCTGCACTTATGTAGCTGAATGCTCGTCACTCGGACGCTATTTCCGTGCTTAAACCTTGCCGAACACCAGTATCACTCGAAGACTCGGAGACTCATTCTTCATTTTCCAGTCGCAAACACAAGTACTTCAAACTTTGGAGCAGCAAGCACCATGTTTCTTAAGGCACTGCTTTTCATCGGTGTTTGCATCGCGAGTGCCCTCCCATCCACTGCAGCGCTGATCAAGGGCCACGACTTGTCCTCTGTCGGTATCATGGAGGCTTCTCAAGGAGCCAAATGGATCTCCACCTCGGGCAAGACGACGACGATCGAGTCCATTCTCGGTGGTGGTGGCATGGACACCGTTCGACTACGGTAAGCTCCTTTCCTCATCTTAAGCTCAGTAACAACACGCTGACCACTGTATTTGACAGCCTTTGGACATCGGGCGACTACAACTTAACGTATACTTTGTCAATGGCCAAGCGGTTCTCCAAGGCCGGATACAAGATCTATCTGGACATGCATTTCTCCGACACGTGGGCCGATCCTACCAAGCAAGGAACTCCTAAAGCCTGGGACAGCTCGTCGATTACCACGCTATCTGCAGCCGTGAAATCATACGTGACTTCAACGTTAAAGTCCTTTACAAGTGCTGGTGTCAATATCGACATCTTGTCGTTGGGTAATGAAGTCACGTACGGGATGCTTTGGCCAACGGGAAGGATCTCTAACGGTGACTACAGCAAGTTCGCTACACTCTGGAAAGCGGCTCGTCAGGGTGTGACGGCTGCAGTCGCCGCTGGCACGAAGCAGCCCAAGGTCATGATTCATATCGACAACGGCTGGAGATACAGCTCCGTCTCGGCCTTCTTCAAGGGGTTTTTCGCGACCGGCACCGTGACTACCAGCGACGTTGACGTCTTTGGGTTTTCGTACTACCCATTCTACAATACGGGCGCTACCATCTCGGCACTCACGTCATCTTTGACGCAGATCGCCAACACGTACAAGAAGCCAATTTATATTGCGGAGACGGACTGGCCGACGCAATGTACGAAGGTCACGCTGAGTGCTTCCTACCCCGTGAATGCACTGGGTCAACGTCAGTGGGTGGCTGCGGTCATGAGTGTGCTCAATGGTCTGCCAAACGGATTGGGAGCTGGCATTTTCTACTGGGAACCCGCGTACCTGACGGTTGCAGGACTTGGCAGTTCCTGTGAGTCTGCACTGCTTTTCAGTGCCAACTGGGCCAATTGGCCGACGACGTACGCCACGGCGCTCTCGTCCGTCTACATGTTTGCGTAAGGGTTCTCGGCAGACTCAACTGGGTCCCAGTCTGGGTCCCTCCTCGAAGCCGACCAGACCACGGGAAACGTGTCGAACCACCTTGTGGGCGGGCACAAGTAGTTGTGCCGCACAACTACTACATGTAGTCTACTACTAGTAGTAGTTTCGATTGTCTTTGTCAATATTCCCTTTGCTCACGCCTTAGTTCACAATACATGTAGTACTGTCATGAAGCGAAAGCTGTGGACCTTTGCCACAGGATTTCGGACACCAAGACTAAGTACAAGTTGTATCTGATCATGTCCGTGAAACATGTATCAGCAAGGGTGCGAGGAACGTCAGCAACAAGGCCTTCGACCAACGCGTTGAGATTGAAGTTCTATACGTGCCAGTCAGACTGACCGCATCCAATGTTCCGGGGTTGTCTTCTATAACTTGAATACCGAGGACTTCAACCAAACAATCCGGCTACCGAACGAGAAAAGCGTTTGCTGACTCAACAATGTTGAAGCATTCGAACACCACAGCTTCAGCCTACATGTACATGGCCCAAAAACTGAGCATTGTAATCACTGGTTGTGTATTGAGGTATGATGTGCTTCAACTTCAAACACGTATCTGGCACATCTAGTCAAGAGTGGTGGTTTAAACTCAGCCAGACCCGCTTACTGACAGCAAGTTGCTGAATGTGCACGTTGCGCCTATAAAACTACATTCATCTTTTCCTTTGCTATCTTCATTCTCCATTTTCAGTTCTTGTTCTCAAGTCACTCAAGACTGGAACAAGGATGTTCCTCCGCACTGCATTCCTCTTCGCCAGCACCTGCCTCGCAAGTGCACTCAGCTCCTCTGCTGCAGCACTTACCAACGGCCATGACTTGTCTTCTGTCGCTCTGATGGAGGCCATCCATGGCGCCCAATGGATTGACACCGACGGTAACACGACCACAATCGAAAGTATCTTCAGCGAGGGAGGCATGGACGCTGTCCGGCTTCGGTATGTATCTCTCTCACTTTACTTGATACCAACCTAGTGACTTTACGGACTGTGTTCAGCATCTGGACGGCTGGCGAGTACGATCTCAACTACACGTTGGCTTTGGCTCAGCGATTCTCCAAGGCCGGCTTCAAAATCTACCTCGACATGCATTTCTCGGACACTTGGGCAGATCCGCATCACCAAAACATCCCAGCAGCATGGGATAACTCGTCAGTTGCAACACTAGCCGCCGACCTTCAAGCATACGTGACGTCGACGTTGCAGGCCTTCACAGACGGAGGGATCGACCTCGACATCTTGTCGCTTGGCAATGAGATCACGATCGGTTTCTTGTGGCCTACAGGGAAGCTTACAACCGGTGACTTCAACGACTTTGCTACACTTTGGAAGGCGGCGCGCCAAGGCGTGACGGATGCCGTTGCTGCTGGAACCAAGAAGCCGGAGATCATGATTCATGTAGACAACGGGTGGAATTATACGTACGTGTCGGACTTTTTTACGGGTCTCTTCGCCAACGGGACCGTGACCCCCGACGATGTCGATTCGTTCGGTTTCTCGTTCTACCCATTCTACGGCGTGGAAGCTACGATCGATGCACTTAACTCGTCGCTTACTCAAGTTGCCAAGGACTACAATAAACCACTCTACGTGGCGGAGACGGACTGGCCTGTTGCATGCGAGAATGTCACGCTGAGTGCCGACTACCCGGTCAGCGCAGAGGGGCAAACGCAGTGGGTGACTGCTATCAAGGACGTGTTGGAAGGTCTGCCGAATGGTTTGGGCTCAGGTATTTTTTACTGGGAGCCTGCATATCTGTCGGTGGCAAGCCTGGGAAGTTCGTGCCAATCGGCGCTTCTCTTTGATGTGAATTGGAGCAACTGGCCGACCACCTACGCAACAGCGCTTTCGTCCGTTAATATGTTTGCCAACATGTAAGTTGTAAAGT